GGGGTGGAGAGGGTCTTAAAAATGTTTAAAGGGGTAGGGAACATATTGATCACAAGATAGTGAACGACGTGATATTCTCCGTAAAGCCATCGCTTAGAAACTCGAAATAGGCCTATTCCTGGCAAGGTCAAGAATTCAACGATGATTGCCTCTAAAAAAAACAACCAAACAACAACAACAAACAAACAAAAACAAAAAACCTTGAATCTCAAAATACCATCATGACCACGCCTGTTCTAACACTAAAACCTTAAAAGATACTAAAGATTTCAAAATTGTATAGTTTTTACGCCCCTTTGTATAGTTTTTACGCCCCTTTCAACACTGTAAAGTTGTTCTAGAGGTGGGACCTCCGACTTTTACGTCCATCTCCCATAGGACCGAGCTAAATTTATAAGCCATGTTATTGGAGAGCCTGCAAAACTTCGTAAAACAACTCAAGTTCAAAGCACCTCGTTAAGGATTCGAAACAGAGCCATCAGCGCTGAAGTCCAGCATGATACCAGCAGTGGTGATACTCGAGCAGTCACTTAAAATCAATTCAGTTTACAAGGAGAAAAAAAATTGTCAAAATTTTCACGCGAACATTCGTTTAGTTTTATTATTTCTCAACACTAGACAACCTTGCTGGTATGTTTTGTGGAATTCTAACCTTATCATATTAAGTGCGCGCGTGAGTCTAAGCTGCGACATTATTTTAAGTGGTATTAAAACATCTAACGGTCGAAATGATTAGTTTACCTTTTACATCTGCTACCGCTTTAAAAGCTTTACTGTTTCACTGGTGCTTACAAGACCAAATTGTGTCGACAGCATCGGGAAACGTAATGTGCACTGACTTATTAGATTTTTCTGGACACAGTACATACTCATTTTTAGTATGCTTTGTGTGTTTCTCAAGCGTTAATTTATATTATGATCAATTGAGGGTCGATAGTACTATAAAACGTTATGTTTATGCCGTTGACTAACTCATTAACTCGCTAACTCGATAACTAACTAACTAACTAACTAACTAACTAACTAACTAACTAACTAACTAACTGACTGGCTGGCTGCCTGTTTATTGCTTTAGTTACAGTAACAGTTTTACGGCACTTGCAATACAAATCGGTCATATTATTATTAGTAACGAAGATTATATATTATGAGTGCAACTGGAGAGTAACATACAAAGAAAAGAAGAAGCAGCGATAAGAATTGTAGAAGTTTAGCCTAATAAGAAAGAAGGAGCAAACCTCACCAGAACACCCGCCAACCGTCCGCTATAATATCCATAATATTATTTTCCTGCGGACTTTAAACACGAAAGACTATTAATTAATTTTACTGTTACTAGGTGTTTTCTTACCTTCCATTGAGTTGATGGCAGGACTGTAGTGCTGTGGATGAGACCAGTCAAAGACACAGTCTGTCGACCTTTGGTATGGAACTCCGGTCAGCACGCTAACACAGCTACCACCACCACCGCCTCCACCACCTCCGCCACCACCACCACCACCACCACCTCCACTACCTACACCACTACCAGCAACAACTCCGTTACCACTCAGAACGCTACTGTGCTCGAGTCCTCTTGTGTTCCCACAGTTACTGCTGGTGTTGTTGTTGCTGTTGTTGCTACTAGCACTGTTGTTGCTACGGTTGTTGTTGTTGTTGTCGTTGTTATTCCCGCTGTTGTTGGCGCTTCCTCCTCCGTGGAGGGCCAGGTTGATGCTGTTGCTGTTGCTGCTGTTGCTGCTGCTGTTGCTGTTGCTGCTGCTGTTGCTGTTGCTCACGATCATGGGGCTGAGTTGGTGGACGGTGGATACGGACATGAGAGAAGCAATGCTGAAGTCCTTAGCCCGCGGAGATAGCGGGTACCCAACGTCCATCAAACACTTTCCCTAAACCCTTACCTTAACCCTGAGCCTGATTCCTTATGAGTACGATGACATACTCTCAACAGCTCACGATCCCGTCTTCTCAAGTACTCACTCTCACGTCATCAATCCGCGCGCGCGCGCACACACACACACTAACACACGCACACTCTTTGAAGGAAAAAAAATAGCAAAAAGTAACGGGAAACAAAAAAAATCCTTCCGAAATTTCCGATAGCGCTTGAGGACGCTCAAACATTTGATACCCTGTCACATAGAAATTACAAATCTCAACACTTCGCCACTGCCTTTCTTTCGCTCACTTCGAGTTGCGACGAGTTTTTTTTCTTATTCTTCTTCTCTTCTTCGCTCTGTCTTCTACTTAGAAGAGCGTCTTCTATTATTGGCACGTCTGCACTCTTCGCTAACGCTTCGTCACTCAAGTCGCACCCCGACAATTACAACCTACAATTTTGTGCTCTTTTTCCACTCGTCCTCGTCTCCCCAGATTTCTGTCCTCCTCTCTCGTCGTCGACGCTCGCCCTTAAGATTTCCTTCACACTTTGCTCATCCTTTTCGCCCGATCTGTTTGCAGCCAATTGGGGCGATAACGTGTGATCTCCAGACTTTTCTCCAAATCCCCAGCGAAAAATGCGCCAAATTCTATAAAAATGTGAGGACGTGTAACGGGGAAAACTCGCTAAAATCATGGCAGTGTGGCAAGTTTTCGTTGCCACTTTGCCAAGGTATGAGAAACCCAAAGCAAAAACCGCCAAAATTACTTGAACGCTTTAGAAAACTTTTCCTCCCGCCAAAGTAAGATTTGGAGCCGCTGAATCTGCGCACGAAGCGATAAAGAGCAGGCGAAGTTGACAAATGAGAAGCTGATGACGCGTCGCCCCGCCTACTCTCCCCTTCCTCCGGAAGTGAGCCGACACCCGACGTGTCATGCGCGCAATGCCTGCCGAAAGCCATTGGCTGGCAAGAGACAGGGCCCACAATTCTCAACTCTGTAAGTTCCGCCGCCGTCGGCTGCGTCTGCTGTCAGAATTATCTCCCTCTACTCACAGCGCTGTCTGGAACAACGAAAGACAACTCCAGACCTCTTCCACCACTCGCGAGCGAGAAACTCTTCTTCTGTGGGCGGGGCCTAACGTGAGGGGAGCTCCGAACTCACCAGCACTCACGCTGAAAAACGTCAGCGAATAACGAATTCCTCAGGAAACTGACAACTCAAAACAACTGTGCGAGGCATCCATATATACCTAACTGACTAGAAACAGAGAACTCAGGAAGATTGGGAGAGAAGATAACTGTCCCCTCGCTTGCACTTATTAGAAAGGCCTATTCCCTACCTACCGGCATAACTGGGAGATAGGGGGCGCTCCGAGGTGCAGTCGGGGGCTCTCTGGTCATTTTTTGGGGGCAGGTCTTGTCTTTGCATAGTTTTGAACTCATTAACACTGGTCGGAAGCGTGTGAGTAGGACCCCTGTCGAGGTGTCGTGTGCCAAGAAGTGTATCTGTGTGTGTCTGATGTGAATGTTACGGCGTTCTCGTCATGATTTGGGAGCATGACATGAGTACGGGGAAGTAGATTTACTTGCATAATGTGCATTAGAGCGTATGCTTTCAGTTATAGCTGGAACAATGGCCTCTGAAAGGGGTGATGGTAAATTTAATACCCCCACCTCCCCCCCCCCCACAACCCATGCATTTAGAACTTACTTGACCTACTACGCTCATCTGGGGTCTTCACTCTCTGTGGGTCCACCTTTAGGTCGCTGTGATATTA